AGGAGGGGGGGGTAGGGGATAAAGTCACTCTTCCCAAGGCTCACATCAGCGAACGTTTTGTTGCACAGGGTGCAGCCGTTGATGAAACTTTTATGTAAAATATATTCCAAAACTTTTATTGCAAAATATGGCAAGCCTACTTCCACCACAGGCAGGAGCAGGCCCTCCTTCACTGCCCTCATCACATGACATCTGCCATTGTCGTCGAACTCAAAGAGGCCTATCGTGATCGTTACAGTCTGAAGGTGCTGCACAACTTCTTCAATCGGAATACTGGTGGATTACTTTCTTATGGCTGTGGCTTTGAATGTGCAGGAGCCCATCCTCTCAGATGTCGTCTCAATGGCCTACAATTTGCCGAGGACCTCATTGAGCTCCAACCGTGTCCCGTGAGAAATTCTTTTGAAGTCTTCAGTGCAGAAGGCTGTTGTAAAGGTTTTTGTGATAGATTGGAGTGCATTCTCCAATTTTCAGTTGGAAGCGTTTAATTTGATTTTTGGAAAGAGTGATTCTTTTTTTGCCCCCCCCCCCCCTGTATACAACCATGTCTTTTCAACTTCGTTTTTCCGACGCCGACCAACTCTGTACTATCGTTTGGGAGAATGCGTAAAGTTGATAGAATAAGAAGTGGAGTTGAAAGAACTATGGGGGATCAAAGCAGTCTACACTAGACTTATAATCAGGAAGGGATTAAATTCACCTGGAGTTTGCGATAAGCAGGCAGTGAAACAGGCGTAGTTCACCAGAGCATAAGCGCACAGGAAGAAATTCGAAATGAAAGGAGCTATGACGTTCAAATTTCCTGAATGAAGGCGATCGTACCGATTGGATGATTAGCAAATCTTAAGGGTTCTTACCGATCATCACAACAAAGACGGTAATGAGAAATGCAAGCGCGTACGCTCTTCGTGGATCATTCCCAGGACCGTATCCTTTGGCGAAGAAAGCGAGTTTAGGGATCAGTTTATCCGTGCACACCGCCTAGAGACAATAGAGGTATGTGTAGTATGTTCATGGAAGGATTTTGTTAGGACAAAAATGATCAGCAGAAAAGAAAAAGGCACTATTTACCCTTTACTGCCCCACTCCTCGAGAACTGAGCCGGATTTTTATCGAAATTGGTCATTGACTGTGAATTTGGCCAGAAACTTGCCTTCGGGGGTAATTCGACCCGTAGAACACGAATATCACATTTGTTTACCGCTAGAACGCCTGGCGCTCGCGTCAGAAGCGCCGGCGCCAAAAGGCGCCAGAACATCTCGGATCCCCAAATTCGCTGGAAAGTTGTCCTCAGAGGTATTTTGACCCGTAGAATATGATTATCACATCAGTTTGTTACGAGTGAACCTGTAGCCTGCGCTACGAGCGCCCGCGCAAAACTGTTGTGATAGCGCCGGCGCCTGTGGCGCGGGCGCCAAGCGTTTTCGCTCTAAACCGGTATTATATTCGTGATCTACGGGTCAAATTACCCCTGAAGGCAAGTTTCTAGCAAAATCCACAGTCATGGACGAATTTCGATCAAAATCCGGCTCAGTTCTTGAGGAGTGGGGCAGTAAAGGGTAAATAGTGCCGTATAGAAGTAATCTTTTGCTCGAAATGCCCTGAAAAGTATGAGCCACGGGCTGGCTGGCGTTGACAGAAGGTGATGAGGTCCCTTTGTAGTTGTACTTGCCTATCAACCTGGTCATTAATATTCTATGTAACCTAAAGATTGTGCGATACCTAGTGTGGTTGGAGACAACTTCAAAACAAAACCAATTTGAGGCCTAGCTTCTTTTCTTTTTCAATAATTTGTTAGGATGTCTCTATATATTAGGTTGGTCCATAAGTCTTGCAACAAATTACATTTAATGCTAGAGAATTTTCTGTGAGAACTCCGAAAATTCCGCGACATGTTTGTTGACATAGCTTGCACCTTTGCAATTTCAGCCAACCGTCCAGCTCGTTGTGTCGCCTATGTTATGGATATTACACGATTTCGCGAAAAGCTCTTTGGCCCTTAATTTTTACAGTACTTCTGGAATGTTCCGCAAGCACGCTATATACACCAAAGATTACCAGAAGACTCGGCGGGGGCAGACTCCTCAAGTTACGGTGCCCACCGGTGCTTCGCTGTGCCTCAGCGCTGACTTCTTTATTTTAAGTGATAACATCCAACACCCAGTGACTCCGTAATACGAAACTACTCTAGCTGTGCTGCCGAAAAGGGATCTGGATAGACTACCGCGACAATGCGGGATGCGACACAGAGCGCCGCTGTAGCGGTCTCCAAAGACTTAAAGATCCGAAAATATAGTTTGGATCCCACATGCCTTGAGCTCCAATCAGCCCCAAACACGACCTGACATCGTCACGTTGAAGTCGACGATTGACCACCCATCACATATGCCGAAGATGTGGTGAGGGTACTTGGACAGATTTTTTTCTTTCCTCTCCGCACCTCTGCTTTTATTTTCTTGTATAAGGGATCACATTAATTCGATAGGCGGCGTACCCGAACCGAGCTTTCCTGCGTTCTTGGTTTGAGCATAGAGTTGCTACGGTCTGTCTACCCAAACGAGGTGAACAAGCTAGGTAAACTTAAGGCAGAGATTTGAAGTATATTATATATGGTAGAAGAAAGCGCGGTCCTCTTGAAAGCAGGTTAGAGCCGAGTTATCCGGCGAAGGCTGCGCTAGTAGCGGCCTGACAGAGCCTTACCCGTGACAGTGACTTCCTCCGTACTGTCCACGCGCCCACAGATTGGCTCGCTCTTCACGGTCGAATCCAGCTGTTTTTGTAGCAGAGAAGCAGAATAGAGCTTCACGTCGATGACATCAGCGTTGAAGAAGAACAGCTTGAACGCAGAAATCAACAGGGAAAACATGGATCCCTTTCTGGGAATGAGGACGTTTTCCCCAATTTTTCCTTCACAGCTGCGTCTCCCAGCAGCTCTTCTTTCATCCCAGTGAACAACCAATTTATCAGATCAATCTGTCTTAACGCTTTACTTCAGACTCGTACTGATACGGTGTTGAATTCTCGCTACCTGGCACACTACTCCAACCCAATGGACCATCTATTCACTTTGGAAAACGAGAAAGAGCGTCGAGGACACGAGCGCGCATCCACAGTGCGACTGACTCAGGAGGAAAGTAAATTTTTTCTTTTCTCCTTCTCTGCCGTCCACTGTGTGATGATTGTCTGCCCTCGACGCTCTTCTTGTTTTCTGAGGGTGGCTAAGTACATCAAATTATAAATACATGAACTCCCACTGTTATAAATAAATAATTAATATGTGGATGACAGTTACATAGAATGAGACAAAATATCTGAATTTTATTCAGAAAAGCCTATTTGTTACCTGAAACACCCTCGGTGCGCTGACAAGAGAAGACATTGCTGAACATAAGGAAGAAGCCACGATACCAATCGTGATAAGTGGTGGCCAGACGCTAGTCACTGTTACCATCTAAAAGAAGTCATAAGCAGGTTTTTTGGCTCCTTTCCAATTTATAGAAAATACATGGAGCAAACGGGAGGGAAAGCGCTACTCAAGCAGTATTCTAAATATTTTTAATACATTTGTCTCGACCAGAAAATTGAAATAACGCAATTTCGTTTCAGTGCTCCCTCTGAATTACCGTCAGATGGGTTCATAATATTAAAGGCAAGCCCCGGGAAAAAACTGTGATAAGAGCGCTTCGTAGTGATGACTGAGCTGCGGGACGGCCTGAAAGTGGAAAGGAAAGCTAGAGAAATCTTTGGGATCGCTGAAATTAAGGCCTTAACCTTCAAAAAGGTCGGATGTGGAACGATGGCGAGGCAGGGCGGTCAAAGAAGACAAAACACGCGAGAGATCACGCCGTTCGAGAGAGCACGCCGATATCGAGGTGGGTGGGAAGCGTTGCAACGGGTCGATGGTTGCAGGCCCGTAAGGATTAGCGCCCTAACCACAAGTCGGGCTAATCCTGGGGTTTGCCGTTAACTGATAGCTAGCTCCAGCGTTGATGAGTACCTGATAGTAGTTGTGGAGCCCAAATGGACACGACGCATTCAGGTAGCAGTCTGGTGGATTGTCGTGGTCCACCTCGTTGACACCGTCAGCATCTCGAGCATATGTGGCACCGGCTACCAGAGCGAAAGCTGTGTAGACTACCGTAGACACGGCAATCGCAGCCAATGTTCCTCTTGGTATCGCTGCCTAAAATCAACCTACAACTGCACATATCATAGACGTGGGGGATAGTGCATTGCAAAATGAGAACGAAAATCCAAGAAATAATGAAGGAATGCCCTACCCTTACTTGGACAACGTCTTGATTATTTTGTTCTCCTTTCATATAACGGATCTCAATTGAATAATTAACTCCCCTCTCAATGTGGTTCCGCCTCCGTCGGGTTCGCTGTTGAAAAGACATTTCAGATACCCGCAGGCCTCAAAAAACGCACCCGACCGACGTTATGCTGGCTACAGGTCAGATATTTCGCAAGACCATGACATTTAAAATAGTGAGCTTCAGAAAGTGCACACAAAAATTATAACTGCGTGTACATTGCCTGGTGAGCCATAGAACATGTACCACGGAGGCTTCGGAGAACATTACTTCACCGACCATCCCACCACCTCTACCACCTCCAAAGCACACCCTCGTTCTGATCAATTTAGGCAGATGTTCGTAACTTTGCTAATCGAGCGGTTGGCTACCGTCCGCGGCCTGTGTTGCAGCACTTAGGCCGAATTGAGCAGATTTGTCCTGCCCGCTAACGCGACCCGCTTACGCGTAGCGCGATTTCACACAAAAGTCTTTGGCGCTGTCTCATGCGGCAAATAGTTTTCCAGAATAAATTCGGCAAACAATAAACCCTTTCTACAGTAACCAAACTTTGCCACCGCTATGTACCACTGAGAACGTTCCAAAATGAGAACAGCAATTTAGAAGACGTACCTGGGGGTTCTTGAGGTGTCCACTGATATTTGCTCCAGCCATGATACCGGTAGCGGCCGGGAAGTACACGGAGAACACCGTGAAAAACGTGTGTTCACTCCGGAAGTCGGGCAACATATTAGCTTCTAATGTTCTCCCTGAAGTGAGCGGCTTTGCTTGTCTATTTAGTGAAACTAATTTCATATAAGATTAAAGGCAAGAATCAGGGATTACATTGATGGGTTGATTCCACTCAAATGTGAAAGTAGGGATGAGAGGTGGACCGCCAATGGAGAAAAAAGGAAAGAAAATCCTGACATGCACAGGAAATACGAGCATTTTGCTCAATGCTGTGGAGAAGTTCAAAAGACAGGGAGGGAGATGAGAGATAATGTGAGCGCAGAGGGTGGTAGAGAATTCCGAGAAGAGAGAGCATAGCAGATCAACGCAGCGACGCAGACAAGACATCGATCGGTGGGCGGACCATGTTATGTTTGGTGGAGTCTGTTAGAAGTTCATGGCGCCTAGGGTCCTGGTGACGGGTTTCGATGTAGAAAGGTGGCGCTAACTTTGCACTTGGGTGCCCAGCACTTCTAGCCATGGTAAGAGCTTCTTAGGTGGGTCTGAGCCTGAACTTTGCCTTAATGGCAGGGGTGGCTATATACTTTACCAAGAAACCGCAAAATTCCCTACATTTCCTACAAGTTTCCGTGTATTTTACCCATATTTCAACTGCTCCATTTTCTAGGGGGGGGGGGGGCCGCGCCGCTCCCCACTCATCACATGCAACTTCTTACAACCGAAGCAAGTACGACCCCCCTCTACAAACTCATCAAAATACGACCCCCCGTTGCTACTTGTAGCAACATAGGGTTGACCCTGCCAGGAGGATCGTACAGATGAAAGTCTTCGCTTGGGTGGAGAGCTCCCCGAATAAGATCAATCCTGGGTAGGACTTCATGAATCAGGGATAGCTTCGATAGTAGGCAAAAGAATTTGTTCAAACTAACACTTATATCCAGTGTACCCATGAATGACCTTGTTCCTGGTGGAAATAAATGATCCGATTATGAAACTCAGGACAGACACGATCAGTGGTATGAGCAGAATCTGCTGTAGTTTACTTTCAAGCGTAGGTGACACAACGATCACAGCCATCAGAATAATGCACGTCACTGAAACAAAATCGAGGATTAGACATTTTATTCGTGCCTTAGGTAGTAACAAGGTAATAACCCGTTCACAACAGCGATAGGTCATTTGTGAGGATTTTTGAACCCTACTAGGAATATGTGTAACATTCAGTTACACCCGGTTACTCACCGACAGACACTAGGCGGATATCCCATTCATCGCCATCCAAAATCGTGATCCCTGCTTCGATCAGAAGTTGCTTAACTGTTTCAGCGAATCCCACTATATAAAGAGCACCACCAGCACAATTTGCCAGCGAGAATAGCAGTCCAATTCGAGCCACCATATTCAGCTCCAAGGGTCCTCGAAATCTGAACCGCAGAAAGGTATCTCAAAATCATTATGCAGGGCTCCTACATAATTTATCAATTGTTCTTGACTTTCAGCTTTTGTGCTTTGAACTTAGTAAGATTCCTACTTTGAAAAGATATGTGTATACAAATGAGAGTGAAATGAGTCGATAAAATGTCTGGCACATCCCATTACACCGAGTGAGAGCACGCTGATCTCTACATCAATGCACGCTGATCTCACCATCTCTCGCGGTGGGAAGCGTTGGAACGGGGGTCGATGGTTGCAGGCCCGTAAGGATTAGCGCCCTAACCGCGCAATTTTTGCGACGAAGCTGGAGTGATCTAGGTAGGTACGGACCTTACAATTTCCCTCGGTTGCTAACCCTTTCACTAGTCGGCTCAGGAACAACCGTGACGATCGCACATTTTCAGAAATTTCGCGACCTCCTCCTTTAAGGAAGTCTCGATGCGACCCCTCACCACCGTGAGACTTAGTAAGCTGCCTAAATACAACCCCTGCTTAGCCGGCTAATTTAATTTCTTTACCCCATCCCAATCGTCACGGAAGACCCTGTGCTTGTCAGGTCGCGGCTGCGACGTGGGTTATGCTCGTCTCGACGAGTTTCTGTAAAGCTCGTTTGATGGGCGCACGCATAGTCGGTCGGACGACAGCAACGATCGTAAGTGTCGCACAGCATTGGATGCGTATCGATCGTCGGACTTGCCTGAGTATTCGACGATTAGATGCAGTTAGACAGTCAGACAGTTGCGATCGTTGCTGTCGGACGACCGACTATGCGTGCGCCCATGGAGTGTTGAATGGGGACGCTAAGCCGGCTGCTCCCTTTATTATTTCAATCGAAGTGTGGGTAATTTCGTTTCTAGTGGGCCCTTTTCCTTTCCTCATTTCATTATTGCAATCTTTTTTTGATTTTAATCTGAATTCTGACCTGGCTAAAGAAAAGAGCGACTAACGAGCAGAAAATTTTTCCGGAGCAGCCCAATATGATGTAATTGACAGTTATTCCGTTTGAGTTTGAGTGACTTGAAGCATGAGAAACTACAGTGCACGTTTTGTAAAGATACAGAACTGTAAAGTGATGAAAAAGATGACATGCATGAGATCTCTAGTTTCCGAACAGACCGTAACAGTTGACCGTTAAGCGTAGCAACAGTGTCATGATAAATGACCGTGAAAAAATTCCGAGAATAATAAACAAAGCTTGGCGCAATGTGCCTGCAGGGGCGGTGTGTAGAAAGGCCACTAGGGTTAAGCCTCACGAAGAGGGACGAGTCCCGGACACGATTGAGGATTACTTACGCATCTCGCAGCCCCCTTCTCCTCCAAGGCCTAGTACTAAAACTGATGAATTGAGTCCAGCGCAGTGTTTGGAAGAACAGTTGTCTTAGCAGGTCGAAATGCACTTAAATAGACTAATGTGGGCTGCAGCCGCATCATTGCTCGGCACTATTGCATTATTACAACCCCAGTGGGGGCCGAGATGGGTCAAAAAATAATTTTCGCTGAAACTTTTGCTATGGAGGGTTATCGAGGGTCCTGATCACGAATATGATATCCTTTTTTGGCGCTGGCGCCAAATTGGCGCCATTTGGCGCCAGCTGGCGCCACTACTGATTATCACCAAATTCGCTGTAAACTTCTGAATAGGGGTTATTTGGGGCCCTGATCACGAATATGACACTGGTTTTTAACATTCGTGTTGTTTAACGCATATTTTCTGGTTTTCTAGGCTTTCTCACCTATGGCGCCTAGGACTAAGCTAGGGGAGGGGAGTGAAACTCCGGAGTGGGTGTGAACCGCGCACGTGTGGCAAAAGTTGGAGTGTGTTAGACCACAGGGGAGTGCCCTACTCACTTTGGAGCCCTCCACTATTCAAAGGCTTAGTCCTGATTGCGATCTAATTAGTGCGAGGGCGCAGACGAGCAGGAAATAGGCGCCGAATAGCGCTAACAACAAAAACGAATGTCATATTCGTAATCAGGACCCCAAATAACCCCTATACAGAAGTTTACAGCGAATTTAGTGGGAATCAGTCGTGGCGCCACCTGGCGCCAAATGGCGCCAAATTGGCGCCAGCGCCAAAAAATGAATATCATATTCGTGATCAGGGCCCTCGATAACCCCCATAGCCGAAATTTCAGCGAAAATTATTTTTTGACCCATCTCACCCCTACTGGGGTTGTAATAGTGCAATAGTGCCCCATCTTCGTATAAGTCAAATAATCCGAAGTTATGCGCGCACCATCGCGAAAAAACGCCGCATTACGGCGCTGCGCAAGCAACCGCGCGCGACGGCGCCAATGCCGGACGATTCTGTTGGACGCTCCCCTACCCCACGCTGTACACTATACATCTCCAAAATCCCCCAAAAACCTATCTAAACAGCATCACCTTCACCCTGCCCTCACGCTCATACAAATCGCTAATCACTTCACCACCCGCTGATATCCACCCTTGCCCCAACAATCAACCACAAACCACGCATTAATCGTCTCGAAATTAGTGCGGACGTACGCTGACGAGAGTCGGGCTAATCCGGGGCTTTGCTTCAACACGGTTGAGAGAGCCTCGTGTGTGCATCTAGTCATCCTTTTTTTTTTTTTCTTTGTTGGTTCTATCACCATTTTCTTCCTCCGACGAGCCATCTATATTAATTCAGGGGGCACTCCATTGTTCGGTAATAAGTGTACCATCTGTGGTACCCGGTAATATGACACATACCGTCAGTTTTAAATCATGAATTCGGCCAGAACTGGTCCTTTTCGTGTGAAAGTAAGCTACGCAGGGTCAAGCGAGGCGTCGAAGAAAACTATGGTACGACTCACCCTCGATTCGTGAAAAAATAGCGAGAAAGTACCTTTTTCAGATAATAACTAGGGGAATTCTTGAAAAGTGCGAGGCTTTGAAGTTCACACAAAAAGTCATAACTTCCTTCAAATGCAGTAATTCAGAAATATTAACACACATCTTCAACTAGCAGATTTGCATTATTCAACGACGATTGAGATGACTTGATTCGTTTCAGTGTGTCAAAATGGCTTCGCTAAAATTTCTCGAAAATTAATGAGGGAAATTTCAGGGATGCAAGGGTTTTTTCTTAAACTTCAAACAAGGAAAGATACCCTTCAATTTCAGGAGGGAAGGCGAAAATCATAGTCATGACAGCTGTAATACAAGAAGCATCAAAAATGACCTCGTTGTAGATTTTTGTCAGAGTGCATATGTAGATTTCGAACTCCATAGCTTTTTCATGGACATTTCGCACGAACGGGACCAGATCTTTGGGATTCTCAAGCTCTCTGCTTTGTAAGTAAATGTAAAAGTGAGCTGCAAGGTTTCATCACAAAGGCGGTTATATGTTTACTAGGGCTCATTTCGATGCACGCCACGCCCACTGTGGGCGGGGCTCCGCTTAGGCTGATGTATGTTTTTTACTTCTCGAGATATGGTACACCCATCCCAAACTTGACCTGGACCCAGTAGGTTGTTGTCCGCTTAATACGGAATTTCGTGACAGACAGACAGACAGACAGACAGACAGACAGACAGACAGACAGACAGACAGACTTAGCGCATTATATATAGTAGGGATGACGTTGACGCTGACAATTGCATTTCTTCATATGCAGTGGATCAATTCCTCTTGTTTCAGAGACACCTTCGGGAATCTCCTGATGTCTACAAACTTCACATCTCCATTGCAAAGAACGGGAATGGAGCACATAAGCTCACGACATTGGTCTAACTCGCTCAGAGACGCTTCGTGCATTTGACATTCGCTACAGTTCCCATCTGCTCCCGAACAGACTAGCGCTGCTGTGATCCTTGCATCCCTGTTTTTGCGACCTCATCCCTCCCACTGGACCTAATACGACCTTCCTCGTTGAGGATTTCTCAACATACGCTTGCCCTTGGCGGTTGGTGGTTGTCGGAAAAGTCTTTGGCCATTTGTCAATTTTTTTCTAATTCACTTTTCTTCTTTAGCACAGTGAGCAATTTACAATCATATGCCCCACCATAATCGCCAACATATTGCCTTTCAGCAGGTAACTCGTGGATGCCGTTTGTCTAGAAATACTGAGCTTTCAAAGCAAAAACCTTGAAGAAGTCCTCTTCGAGTAGGTCGGATCATTAAGCTCTCCCTCTTTTGGTTGATTTGACAGCAACGGAAGCAGATGGATTCTGTTAGTGCCGGGTCTGCTGAACGCAACAGGTGGGACAGAACGTCCCATAAGGGGCTTGGAGACTTTTGCTGAACCTTCTTCCAAATTCGTTGACGAGCGTTGCCTGGATAAAGTAAACTTTCCATGTTTTTAAGCATAGTGCCGGCGAACCCATCCATTTGCCCATATTATGGTTCAACAATAGCAGTGCAGTTCTTTGGTAGGAGCTGAACGAATCGCTTGGAGCTTCACCAATTCTGAAAGTTACCTCTCAAGTTGCAGTGCTGGAATGGGCGTCGGAATCTCTGGTTCTACGCGTCTGAGCCAGTGTGGTTTACTTGAGGAACCCACTCTTGCTACCACCAACAAAGTAGTCGGGTCAAACAAGAGACAGACGGTAAATCAAAATGTTCATGCAAAATCTGAAGGCCTCTGACGGCGGTTGTCACCCAGATCACGAAATCTCCTTTTGCCATAATTTCTCTTCTTTTTGAGGAGCTATTGAGGAATGGCTATTGTGTTCTGATAACTGTGGAAAAGCTGTGTCAGTTACCGTGCATTGCACCAGAGACTGTTTCCAAACAACTCCAGAAGACACTCGTCACTCAGTGTAACAAGCCGACCGACTTTGGGCTTTTTTCTCGAGTTTCCAACATCGGCAACCAAATGTTCACCATGTCGTGAAAGACACTTCTAGGAGGTCCACCCTATGTTGCTAACATAGTAGCAACGGGGGGAGGGTCGTATTTTTGATTGGCTTTGTAGAGGGGGCGTCGAACTGGCTTCGGTGAAGTTGTGGAAAAGCAACGATAGGACCGACTGCTCCAGGGTTACATCGCAAGACATTAGCTCTTGCCGCATCGCTTCCACTGACGCGTTTTGTGGGTTTTAGAAACAGGAGCAGCCAAACATGATTTCACTCAAAGACGATTTTCTCAGCCGTAATAGCTAAGAGAAATCACGACAGAAATGCTATAGAGAGAAACATTGGCTAGGGTCGTAATAACTTCAAGGTAGTTTCATATACGTTTTGCCCCAATAAATTTAGATAATTATCCCTGAAGATTTTACAACATGCAGATTGAAATGGCCAAAGACTTTCCGACAACCTAACATGTGTCCCGCGCTGTCTTTAAATATGTGTTGGATACCGTGATTTGTATAAAATCTCCCTAAGTTAGGTTGGAAATTAACTTCCCTTTGGTCGTGCTCACTGCTGCTGAGTCAGCTTTTGATGATTCATATTGCAACAATAGCTTGCGCGCGTCCTTTCAGTACTTTGTTACAAATATTTGTTCTATACTGACGGCAACTGTGCAAGATGGAGTGGCGGCACTATCCAGTGTTGAAAGGAAACAGGTCATGCTAAAAAAGAGAGTACTGGTACTGGGTTGGGAAGAAGCCGTGCAACGCTTCCATATAAATGTTGAACAATTCTTTCACAGGATTTTGTTGACAATTGACAACCCCTAATTTTCACAGAACTCCGTATTCGCCATCAGCGTACCTTTACATTGCCGAGCTGGATGATGCCTTCAAGGACAAAGCATTCGTGAGGCCCTAGCGCTACATTCGCGCACTTGCTGGACAACTACCCATTTTGGTACTCGTGAGCACCAATAGACAGTTCTCCGACGCGGACCTCATCTGGGGTTGTTGCTGGTAGGAAGTAGATTATACCGAACTTCAAGTAGGAGGGTTCGAATTTTAGGTCACTGGCTTACGGACCCAATACCATATTGTCCAGGTAAAATTTCAAGTGATGTTTGATTACAAAAAATTCTTTTTGAACCGCATTTGAATAATTTTTCACTCACGTTGGGGAGGTGGTAGATTTGAAACAAGTTTGGTTGTTTGTTTAAGGCCTCCGAACGCCAACAAGGCCGCAAATGCTGGAGAATTAGGCGGCCGGCTCTAATAGCATGCTGTTATGCAGCCTTACAGACGTATTTGAAATAATTTTTCTCATGCAAGCAGAAAATCAAAAGTCGGGAAAGAACCCAGGTAGGTTTTCTCGTCAAAAAGATATAAGCCACAGGCATACACCAAAGCTGATGACAGAAAAAGTCACCACTACATAGTTTCCACTACTGAACCTTTACCGTCTAACCATAAGTCACTCAAACTATGAACAATGATTTCCGACCGGTCAATTCATGCATAGACCGAGTGAATAAATGATTTACATCAGAAGTGGGTGTACTGTACAACTGATTTTAACGGTAATGTCTACTCACCAAATAATAAACTCCTCCACCTTTAATTTCGCCATTAGTGCAGATTGTACTCGTAGATATCGCCGTTAAAAGGGTGACAAACGATGCGAGGAATATGATCGCAACACCCATAACTGGAATTCATTCTTAAAAATGAAGAACAATGGATCGTTTAATAAAAAAAACAATAAAATAATGAATCACTGAGTTTAAATGTAGTCAATCTATTTCGGACTGTACCAATGCACTCTCCCCCCCCCTCACCTTTACAAAGGAGGTCTTTCAGGCAAGGTGCGCTTTTGGAAACGGTTTAGTACATGTTGTAGGGACGCATGTATGGACCACAAAACCATGTTTCGTTTTCGCTGAACGGTTTTAGTAGTACCAAAAAAGTGGTGAATAATACTCTTGATGGTTCAATCCCCGCGGCGACTAAATTTTGCAATCAAGGTTGGCGGCCACTTGTTGGCTTCAAAATGGTCCTGACGATGAATTTGACATCTGATTTTGATATTTAGCGCGATTTGGCACCAAACCGTAGGCGCCAACCCAAATGCAAAATTTAGTCGCCACGGGGGATCGAACCCTTAACAGTACCTTATGCTTCTTTTTTGGTACTGTTCAGCGAAAATGAAACATGGTTTTGCGTTCCCTACATGCGTCCCTACAATATGCGCAAAACCTTTTGGAAAGCGCACCTCGCCCTGAAAGACCTCACTTGTAAGGTCCCTAACTTTTTCCTGTGCCGCGACTACTTAGCGGGCTAATACAACTGCAGTCATTGCTCATTCCCTCGTTTTGCCATTCTCTTAGTGGCGCCAAATTGATGCCGCTCAATGCCTGGCGAACGTTTAGTTGGGAGGGGACTCATCTAATACGAAGTAGAGCTGCAAGAAAAGGCACTCATATCTAATCACAATCTGCTTCATATTCTTACACAAAGGAAGGATACCAGGTCGAAGTGGCCATTTGTAACGAGACATACACCACTAGATGTGTTTTTGGACGCTGATCTCGAATCTGCTCTCCAAATCTGCGGAACGATTCCTGAACGTAGTTATGAAGCGAGATAGTGCAGTGGCAGCGGCCCGGCCGACGGAAAAGAGGTCGTGGGATCGAATTCTTGGCGATATCTCACATTTGCTTTGCTTTCCTTGAGACATTGCTAAAGATGCTTTTATCCATATAAATTATTAGCGATTGCCTATA